TAATGTTTGGCTGAGATCTTGGAAAGGTTCACTACATTTGCCTGCTCTGCCTGCTCCCCTGTGGCTGGGATAATTCACGAGGTCACTGTTAGCCCCTGGAGAGAGAGAGAGAGAGGAGAGAGAGAGAGAGAGAGAGAGAGAGTGCACTTGCGTGACTGGGGCCGGGTATGAAAACAATGCAATGAGAAGCTGACTGAAGCACTCCAACGCGTTGGCTTCATTTCATCAAAGCATTCAGATCAAAATCTCACAAGCGGAATGCAAATTGGAAGCAGATTTGGGCACAGCGACGGCAGGCAGGCGTTCAAAGGTAATGTGTGCGAGCGTGCCTGTGCAAAAATAAATAAATAAAAGGCATAGTTGGAGAAGTATGGTCATCTTGTCAGCCCCGCCATAAGAGCAGCTCTGCTAAAGATATGGAAAATAGGGGTGGTTCCAGTGTTTTTCCTTTTTCTTTTTTTAATATTCAGGGGTACTCTCACTTTCCTATTCATATTGAAATACTGCCCCTCAATGAAACCAAACTTAGATTCAAAAAAAGGTCTAAGGGTATGCGTACCCCCTGCGTACCCACAGAAAAAAAAAGCACTGGGTGGTTCTAAGGTGGGGTCCATGTATTGATTCATTGCTATCTGAACCAGCTTGCAGAGGAAAAAAATAGGACTTGCTGGAAGGCTTTGCAGAAGTTCTTAAGGTTGTGCCCTGAAAGGAGAATGCCTCATTTATTATTGAATTGGATATTTTTGTGGAGAAGGCCTGTATGTAAGAGTGGATTAGGTTTTCCCTTGGGCTCAGTGACATTTGCAGTGACCAAGTGGTGTGACTCTATGAATGGCATGGAGGAAATAAATTTTGCTCTCTCTCTCGCTCTCTCTTCTCAAATGGGCTTATCCACTGGAATCATAGAATTGTAGAATTGGAAGGGACCGTGAAGATAGTAGATCCAGGATATGGGGTGGTGTTTCTTCATGCAACACACAGTTAACCTGTGGCAGATTCATTTACAAACTGGATGTTTTGACAGTTATAAGCCCAGACCATATTTTGAAAGGATTCAGTAAACAGGACCTGTTGGATTTGGTGGTTGGGATGACTAGAACACAGGTGGTGGTGAAAAATAGCAGGTTAGAGCCCATTGGAAGCCTTATTCAAGGATGTTGCTGGCAGTGAAGAAAACTTACTTTTTCACTGGCATAGTATCTACAAAGATAGTATCTACAAAAAAGGGACCCAGGTGGCGCTGTGGGTTAAAGCCTCAGCACCTAGGACTTGCCGATCGAAAGGTCGGCGGTTCGAATCCCTGCGGTGGGGTGCGCTCCTGTCGTTCAGTCCCAGCGCCTGCCAACCTAGCAGTTCGAAAGCACCTTCGGGTGCAAGTAGATAAATAGGGACCGCTTTCTAGCGGGAAGGTAAACGGTGTTCCGTGTGCTGCCCTGGCTTGCCAGAGCAGCGATGTCACGCTGGCGACGTGACCCGGAAGTGTCTGCGGACAGCACTGGCTCCCGGCCTATAGAGTGAGATGAGCGCACAACCCTAGAGTCTGGCAAGACTGGCCCGTACGGGCAGGGGTACTAAAAAGTATCTACAAAATGTTTCCCAGCAGAGCTAGTTCTTAGAGAACTCTTGCAATCCCCTGTGGTAAACCCACAGCACCATCAAAACCCCCACTTGTTTGTGGGACACTTTATGGATAATGCTGCTCACATCATCTCTGACATGGAAAGCTATTTTGATATCAGAATCTGTGTTGCAAGAGATCTTGATTTGGGCTTCTTGCAATTGCTTGGATGAGCTGCAGTTGAGTGCAAATAAGGGTGCAGACTAGGCACTTGAAGAGCTTTGAGTCATAACACGTCCACTTGAGCCTTGCCTAAGGTTGGCTGGACTGGTCAGCAGAATAGTCAATGCCTTTTGTTCAGTAGATCTTGAGCTTGCCACATTGAAAGAGGTTGTGGCTCAACCCCTGGTATGCATTAGGGCCATGCATGGACTCCTGATCTGTTTCTGGAACCGATCCAATTCTTTGGAGCAGCCCCAAACTGATCTGGGTCAATCTGGGGCTGAGTTGACCCATACCTGGGCCACAAACCATTTTTGGGTGTCTTGTACAGTTGTGCAGCCAGGAATGGGGGAGAAGGAGATGCATGTAGACTGCCTAAGCATCTTCTCTCCCTCATCTTCTTGCCACCAGACACCCCACCACCATGTGGCAGTCCCAGATCACTCCAGGTAGACCTGAACTGAACTGAGGTGATCCAGAGCTGACTCAGCCTGATTCAACTGAATCCTGAGTTGACCCAAATTGACCCATTTCAGTTTGGTATCCAGAATATATATTTATATTTAGAATCCCCTGGCTTCAATCATTATAGGCGAGTCTCAGATTTCCCATTAGTGGGCAAAGTTGTGGCATCCTCCAGGTATTCCTGAATGAAACTAGTCTAGATTCTTTTCTGTCTGCTTTTAACCCTGATTGCCTTGGTTGCCCTGATGGATGAATTCTACTGATATAATCAGCGATGGTATTCTTCCTGGACCACCTTTTAGGATTGCAAGATTGAGGCACCATTTTGCAATCAGTTTTCTCCATTTTGGACAGCAGGTTTCAGAATGTAGTGCTGGAGAGCCACTGCTCCTTCCCATACGAATTATTCTCCAGGGTTCTACAACATTTAATTTTTGTCTCCCCCGCTCTTTAACACCTCCATGAAAATGTTGGGAGAGGTTGTCGGAAGGTATTGGATGAGATGTCACCCAACTCTATCCTTTTTATCAGATTCAGGTGTGAGTGAGTGTCTCAAATCAGTGATGGGCAGAATGAGGGTAAAGAAACTTCAGCTCAGACAAGACGTGACTGTTACTCCAGGCTGTCACTATTTTATGGGAGGAATTTGAGCTCACACTGGAAGATTAGGTTTGTGCAGTTAAAGTAGGGATTCAAGTGCTCTGTCACCATAGTGCAACAAATCCACGTATTAAAAAAGAACAGACTGTTTTGCAGTTAAGAAAGTGACTGGGAAATGCACCGAGTGGTGTGGAATGAACAAATAATCATTGGAAAGGCATGTAACCACCATGCGAGCAATTCAGGAAGAATGCTCATTTTCATATAACCTCCCTGCAAATAACATAGAATGAATACTCAATAAAGACGACATAGTCTAACAACTGTGTAAGCTCTGAACAAACAAATCAGGATAAATGCTCTATGAATGTTGGAGGAGCCTAGAAATGGGCCAGATATCCCCTACACACACACTTTTGCAGGATAATTTATCCCCCATGACAGTCGGGGGCGGGATTTTTTGGCCACTTCCAGGTGGACGGTAACAAAAACGAAAATGGGAGCTTGCCATGTTGAGAAGCGGTAACAGCAGACTCAGTTTTTTAAACTAAAAAAGCGCTCTTCTGCCACTTCAAGTGACAGTGGAGCTGGAAACAACAGGGTGGCAGCCATTTTGAAAAACATGTAATGCCCCAGGGAGAATAAATGCATCATAATTTTATGATGATTGTTTGGTTGATTGATTAAGACTGCTGATTTATTTGATGCTTTCTACCAGAGTCTCAAAGCAACTTAGAACAATAACATTAATACAGATATACAATCCATAAAATATAAAATAATTAGTAACGTGCTCAAATTGGTGGTCTACTAATAGCAATTAAAAATTAAAAAATACCCTTTCCCCCCATATTCTTATACAAAAATAATCATTAAAGATCCCCAGTTAAATAGCTCCAGTATTAACATGGAATGAATGAAAACATCTGATTTAGTGCCATTCCCATTTGGGCATTTTATAGCCGGAGATTGCTATGATGCTGGGCTGCTGCTTACAGCTCTGTGATGGTGGAGCTTTCTTTGGGAGGAGGGAAGATATATATAAGTGGAACCCTCTGTTGCCTCTTTTCAAAATGGTAAGCCCCCAACCCCTGGGCATTTTAATTTTTCATTACCACACTCCCAGTGCTGTGATTGGGCATGATGTTTGGCCCACCTCCAAACTCTGAAAATAGAGGAAGGCTCAGGGCCAAATACCAGGAATCACATGCTCACCTGAGGACCAAGCTCATAGAGAGGTGGTACTTTTTTGTGCTGATGGGCATTTTCAGCTGTTTGATTTTGATTAGACATTTACCTTGAATTTATTATCTGCTTTTGTTATTTTAAATTATGTTTAATATTTTTATAGCATACACTGCCTTGATACATTTTAAGATGTGGTGGTGGTGGTGTCTGTCTACCTATAACTATCTCCTACAAGCTGAGTAATTCAAAAATATTGACTTACTGATTATCTGGGCGACAAACTAGACACGGCGATAGAGATGCAAATAGTAGCTGTGGAGTGCATGTAGGAGTAGCAGCGTGGGGAAACAGGGTGGCAACCTTCCCCACTCTTGCTGATGAAAACCCTCTCTGAAACTGTTACTTGCCCTATTAGGGAAAACATATGCGTCAGCATATGTGCTCACACAACTCCAATCATTATTTTTAGTGGTACGCTAACTGAACTAGTTATTGTGCTAATTTCTGACTTTTGTGTGATTGGTGGATGTAGTGGTAAATCTGGTGTAATCTGACACATGCACACAAACGCCCCTCCAATGATATTCTATCCATCTCACTGTGATTTTTTTTTATTTATTTTTTTTACCCAAGAGGCAAAAGACACCATATTAAGTATGAGTGTTCCCATCCGTCCCTGGAAGGAAATCTGTGTATTATCTCCCATACGTCCTATTAATCTTCTGTATTGCTGTTTTGACTACCATTTGGGTTGATCAGCTGCTAAAAAAACAACACCCTGAACCTTGATAGACGCAGCAGGTTTCTAGTTATGCTTTTTATTAAAAAAAAGATTTTGTGTGTTTCTTCTTCTAGGGTTCTGTGGAGAGAGGAAGGGGCGTTTCAGACACTCCCTTGGTAAGCATGCAGAAACGAAAGAAAAGAAAAGGCATCGCTGCAGACTGTTTGTTCGCAGAATCCTGTTTCCATGGTGACATTCATTGCAGTGTATGTATATGTGAGCCAATAGTGCAAGCCTGAAATGTACTGTACAGGGGAGGAAAACCTCCCTGTCCTCATTGAGATGCATCTGAGAGTGTTGCTCTGCTGAAGGGGAATCCCGGTTTCAAACGGAGGAAACCCTGGCTCAGCCTTACCTGCCAGAGGAGAAGGAGCTGAAACAGGTGGAAAACAGTGTGTGTGTATATTTATATATATATGAGAGAGAAATCAGGAAAAGGCCTCCATTCTGGCTGTCCAGTATTTTGGAATGAATGAAAACTTCTGATTTAGTGCCATGCCCATTTGGGCATTTTATAGCCGGAGATTGTTATGATGCTGGGCTGCTGCTTACAGCTCTGTGATGGTGGAGCTTTCTTTGGGAGGAGGGAAGATATATATAAGTGGAACCCTCTGCTGCCTCTTTTCAAAATGGTAAGCCCCCAACCCCTGGGCGCGTGCACACACACACACACACACACACACACACACACGAGCTAGGATAATACATCATCTTCCCCCAACCCTCACCCCCACAAATAGAAGTTACTTAAGGCCTCATTTTCCTCCCATCCTCAACCCCACCCCCCACCAATACTGCCGGACTCATTCTCGGTGATTACAAGTATCTCTCCCAGAGCAAATAATTATAGAATTAAAACCCAATCCTTTTGGTCCCTTAATAGCTTTAGCCAATCTGTCAGCGTCTGCCTCTGTGCGATGGGGGAAGAAGAGGCAGGAGAGAGCTGTTATGTAAGACCTCAGCGGCACGTGAACTCCCTTCCTCATCACTAGTCACATCCCTGAGAGAGCTTTCCTCTCCGGAACCTTCCAAACTACCCACCACCATCATCCAGCCGCATGCCAAGGTAAGCCTGAGGTGCCGTGTGGTGATTGTTAAAACAACAACAGCAGCAATAAAAACAGCCCAAAGCTTGGGGCTTTGAGATCACTTTGGACCTAATGGTACGTCTCCAGTTCTCACACAACCCTGTCAGTTCCCCCCTGAAACACACACCTTAGGGATTCATGGATGTTTTATGAATTCTGCTGTTCCAGTTTTAAGGGAGGGGGAAACCTACTTTCCCATGCGTATGCTCTGAAGGCATAGATTAGGAGATTGGGGTGGGTCTGCGAAGACGCACCATGATGTTATATTGTTAAGGCTAAACAAATCTCAGCATGGCTGGTTAGTGACTTATTAGGAACGGCTTTTTTTCAGCTGGAACTCACTGGAACTCTGTTCCGGCACCTCTCAGGTGGGCGCTATTGCCATTACGGTGGTACCTCGGGTTACATTCGCTTCAGGTTACAGACTCCGCTAACCCAGAGATAGTACCTCGGGTTAAGAACTTTACCTCAGGATGAGAACAGAAATCGTGTTCCAGCGGCGCGGCAGCAGCGGGAGGCCCCATTAGCTAAAGTGGTACCTCAGGTTAAGAACAGTTTCAGGTTAAGAACGGACCTCCAGAACGAATTAAGTTCTTAACCCGAAATACCACTGTGTAAGAGAACCAGAGAGGTGTTCATAGTGAGTTCCAGCACCTCTTTTCCCAGAGAAATAGCACTGATTAGGAGACACTCCCACCCCCCCACCCCCGGAAGCTGTTCTGAGTTTTCCAAAGGAAGATTAGAATGGAAAAGCATAATTGTATACATTTCATGAATCATCACCCAGATCTGTGTGCTCCCTGAATCCAAACAAATAAGCTTCCACCATGACTCCATCTGCTCTGAGATTCAGGTAAGCTCGTTTTCCTGACCTTTAGCAGGCTCTTGTCCTGGGGGAACCCCTAGCAATACTTGCCACAATTGCAGAGCTCCTAAGGGAATTCTGAGAGGAATTGCTGGAGTGGAAAGATGGTGGTGGAAAACTGTTCCTATAAAAGAAAACCGCATCTCATTTCCACCCCAGTATCACCTGATATTCCAGGGACGATGGTTGAAGGAGATGTTTAATGACATAGAACAGGATAAGGAAAAGGCAAGGAACATACCCACAGCAGAATTAAATGAAACCATAAGCCTCTCATGTTCACGGCGCTATTCGGCTTGAGGCAGTAGATTACCTTGGAGTGTGCCAGCTCCCTGAAGGCAAGGAACTTCCCCTTTATTAATTTATTCAAACCTTTCCGTATTGAATAGCAAGATGTTTCACAGGATAAAATCAGTGCAGCGAAACAACAACGTAGGAAAAAATACCAAAGATATCCAACATTTTCAATAGAATGGGCACTAAAATAATTACACCTCATATTTATCCACAATGAAAGATGCTACCTCGTTCTAGGTTTGTGCCTTTCCCTTTGTTTTGTGCACTCTCTCTCTCACCCACACCCACACCCACACACCTCTCTTCCATAACTAGCCTGGTTGTATACAGCCCCAATCTTCCATTATTTTGGCTTTAATGTATATTAGTTGTACGTGAAACATATGAATTAGCTGCAGTGGTTCCTAGGTCTGATTAGTGCTTACATTTCAAAATTTCCAAAAGGGCAAGATCAAAGTTGCTCTCTGGTTCAGGCAAACTATAGATTGCCATGATGTCCAAACCAGGCAAATGATGGTTTGTGCAAACCATGGTGTTTGCGTGCAAACCATAAAATTTGCTTCCAAGCCAGAAAAGAGAAGCAATTCTGGTTTGAAGTGGGTTTTCAGTTCCAGAGGAAAATTACAGTACACATGATTCAGATGTTACAGCAAACTATGGTTTGATCAAATCAGACAGGAAGGAAATTTGAGCACATAAAGGCAGTTGTAAGAAACTGAGCCAAATTATAATGGATGTCTGGGTGTGTGTGTGTGTGTATACACACACACACACACACACACACACACACATATATATATATATAACCAGCTCTATTATGGACATTTTCTTTCTTTCAATTCACACTCAAAATCAAGCAACATTTTTTGTTCTTGTTACATTTCCATGAATGCATGCATTTACATTTTGGATCATTATCATTAGGCATTGTTAGAACACTTCTGATACCTTGACAAAAGTGTGAAGAACTTGGAAAAGCTCCCCCTTCCCTTTGTTGTGCGTTGCTTGGAACAAAATGTTGGAAATTCAGCTGAGGGTGGCAATGTGGCTGTTTCCCTCTGATGTGATTGGTGAAGCTCCTATTCAGTGTAGTGTGTGAGAGAGGAATCTCAGAGCCAGTAGCCAAATATGGCCCTCTAGGTTTCTCTGTCTGGCCCTTGGCACTCTCCCCAGGCCATAACCTTCACCAGCCCTAGCTTGCACCATCCTTGGATTCCGCCCCCCCCCCAAGGTGGAATGCGTCCTTGAACTCTGATAATGAGGCAATAGTGGGTGGATCAAGAAATGTAATTTTTACTTTTGTACGGTAGGCTAGTTCCTGCACTCAAACACCCCTCTCTATCCTCCATGCAGGCAAGCAAAAGGCATCATCAGAGTTCAATGACATATACCAGCCAGGCAAAACCACTCATGGAGGGTGCCAAGTAGGGTTGGCAAGAGGTGTGGGAAGTGTCCTGAGGCAGAAGGACTTAGAGGGCCACATTGCTTCCCCACCAGGCCTGAGGTACCTTCCCCTGCTATAGAAACTGATGCTGGCATGCAATGTGAGTACTGGCCAGATCCTGATTATGACTGGTGGGGTAGCCCCACATTCCTGACCCTACTGCTATCTTGACGCAAAGACTGGTTGAGAATTGCCAGGGTGGGTGATGGTTGTTGGAGAAAACTAGATTTAGATATAGTGCGAACTTGGATAGGTTTGTGGAAGAGGAATTTGCAGTTTTGTTCAGCTCTTTAGATAATAATATATGGGAATATTTCTGGCTGTACTTTCAATCTTCAGCCCTGTTGTGGTATTTTGCGAACCCAAGATATTGAACTCTGGCAGCAAGAACAACAACAACCTGAGGATATCTTCCTACTATAAAATTGACAAAACTTTTTAGTAAATTCCTGCTGGGAGTTCTGATGATGGCAGGTGGTGAGGAAGTGCTTTCCGCTGTAGGTTTGCACTGTGCCTGCATATGTAGTTTATATCTACAGCCACTTGTCCACTTTTCCTGTTTCAACGGGAAGCAAATGGGAGGTAAAGCTTGTCTGAGCTCTTGGTCTTGTTCCTTGGCAAGGAACGCTTCCAGAAAAACATCTAACAATCCCACTCTGGACAAAGCTGAAGTTCATCTTTCTTTCTTCACTTCGTTTTCTGTTATTCTCATCATAATTAATGCCCTTTGGGTAGCTGAGCTATGCAAGAGCTTGAACTGTCTATGCTACGCCCTCTCTCTTTCTCTCTGTGTGTACACACACACACACACACACACACACACAGTTCAGTTACAACATGCTGCTTGTAATCTGCTTTAATCTCTTTCCTGGACTGGAAGGAAATGCCTGGCTTGCGGACGCATGGCTCTGCCAGACGTGTGGCTCTTGGCTGTATCGGAGGCAGAAGAATTACCCTGTTCCCTGCCCTGACCTTTGCTCAAAGTATGGCTTGGCTTTGGTTCACTGAGGAAAGTGTTTACACAGGTCTGGCTCAAATGCTTTTTAATAAAGCCTTCAGCCCTTCTAAGGCATTGTCCTCTGATAAACCCAAGCATACATTCCGGGCAGGGCAGTGGTGGGGGAATGCGAGAGAACTGACCCCTCTTCAGTTTCTGCACCAAAACACTATGAACTTTGCTGCAGGACTGAAAATGAGTTTCAGGTCAGCTGAAACTACAAGTTCCATGTGTAGTCTGAAATGCCATCCTGATGTATTCGCAGTTGGTGTGTGTGATACTTCTTTGCCAGGCTGGTGTATATATATATGTGTATATATGTGTGTGTGTGTGTGTGTGTGTGTGTTATATATATATATATATATATATATATATATATATATATATATCCCCCAAAACATTCATTGGATCAGCATTCAAATTCAGCATCAATATGGAGATGGTGAGAGGGGTTAGTGTGCTGTAGTGCTAGGAGTTCCAGACTAGGAAACTTTCTTTCATATGTGGTGGGCATGTAAAAAGGTTAAAGAGTATTGGGAAATGATTTATAATGAGATGAAAAAAAATGTTTAAAACAACTTTGCCTAAAAGACCGGAGGCATTTTTACTAGGAATCATTCAGACAGAGGTTCCCAGGTGCCAGAAAAAACTTATTTATGCAGGCAACAATGGCAACCCAAGTTTTGTTAGCCCAAAAATGGGAAGTGAGGGAGGTCCCAGGTAAGGAGGATTGGCAACTTAAGATGATAGAATATGCAGAACTAGTTGGCCTAAAGTATAGAATAAGAGAGCAAGAAGAACATGTATTTAAAGCGAAGTGGATTTTTATTTTTTTGCTGAGTATTATACAGAAAGTAATTGCACACAGTTGAAAACGCTGGCAGCATTAAAGTAAATTCAACCATATAATAAACACTTGAGTGATGTAAGATAGGAGAACTGAATAAAATGGCTATAGTAAAATATGCAGGGATGGTGGATAATGAACCATAGAAGGGGAAAGAGGGAAGTCATTGAATGTATGGTACTATGTAAGATGTTTATTTTGAGATGTGAAATTGAAAAATTAATAACAACTATAAAAAAGGAGTTCCAGACTAGGACCGGAGGACACCAGGTTCAAATCCCCACCCAACCATTATGCTCACTGGGTGACCTTGGGTCCATTTCTTTTAGCCTAACTAACCCCATAGGATTGTTATGCATATAACACGGAGCAGGAGAGCCATGTACATTACATTGGACTTCTTGGGAGAAAGGAGGGGTATGCATGCAATAAATTAATAAAGTAATATAACATCATGAGGCTGCTTGTGCATCTGAAATGGGAGCAGCTGTGGCTTTTACTTTTCTCTATGCTTCTCTGTGAAAATCA